TATAAAATATATGGATAATCAAAATGAGGTGGGTAGATTCATATATCAAAGGTAATATTGATTCTTATTAATTTAATATATAAATGTGATCATCGATTCATTTAGCTAACTTCAATAATTTTTAAAAATTTATCGTCATCGCGCAACGCACGATGTCAAACACTAGTTATCTATATATTAGATGGCACACGGTAAAAAAAAATCATTGAAAACAAAGAACGTGCTCAAGCGAAGTTGATGGGTTATTAACCTATACGACCTAGGTCCGTTTCTGACATTTTATGGGTTCTGGACGAACATAAAAACAGGGCCCACTACAAGAAAGAAGGCTTTTAGCAACAACTTTTGTCGTCGCTAAAAGTCCATTTATCATCAGAAATAGTATATAACAACATGTCGTCATTATTATTTGTGCCGGAAACATGTAATCGCTAAAAGGCACATCGTCATAGTTCACTTTTCTTGTAGTGACCCTTAGTAAGTACGAAAATAAATTCAATAAATGTTTTTCATTAGTATAAAATTAAGTACAAGAAATGTATAATTTACTGAGGAAATAAATCATATTTATCTTTATTATAGATAGATAAGAGAATACTTAAATTTAAGTACTTCTTATTAGGTAATTTGAAAAATTCACAAGTCGAACAATTGATAAAAATATTTAAATTCTATTTTCCTTCTTTTTTTGCTCAACTAAAATAAGATGTTAATGATAATGTTAAATTTTACTGGTAAACGCTTACCGGGTAAGTGTTCAGTAAACGGCCCCTAAAAACTTTTTCAAATTATACCCATCTAAACAAATATATACAAATGTGAATGGTTGTATGAGAAGAATAGTTAAAGGTGATAAGTATAAGAAGAGATCTTCATCTTTGATTACTTTTACATTGTTGTACCTAAATTTGGTGAGAAAAGCAAAGGAGAGAAAAGAAAAGGAAAAGAACAAAAGATTTTTAATTTGTTCTGAAAGGGAAAGAAAATGAAGGAAAAGAAAAGATTTTTTTTTCTTCATATTTTGAACAAGAGAGAAATGAAAGAAAATATGTAATTTTTACTAATATATCCTTTAAAATCATATCAATTAGAATGAAAGATCGGATAGTTTTGTAATTTGAACAAATATTTAAATGATTTTAATTTGGGTTTTTCTAACCCCACCCCCTCCTATGGGTGCATGTGAGGGGTAGGGGGTGAGTATGTGAGGGTGAGAGTGAGGGAAAGTTGTGAGGGTGAGAGTGAGGGAAAGTTGTGAGGGTGAGAGTGAGGGTTGGTGTGAGGAGGAGGGGGTGAAAAGTGATGTAGGGGGGTGGGGATATCAACCCCCTTTAATTTCCTTTCTTCTCTTTCCTCCCACATCTGGGGGGAAAGTTTTGGAAGGAAGCTAATCATTAATTTTCTTCCGTTTTCTTTCCTTTCTCTCCTAAAACAATTTTGAGAACACGAGTTTTTTCCACTTTCCCTCCCTTTTCCTTCGCAAAATGAGTTTTGAGAATGCGGTGATGAGCTCAAACCCATCCATGAATCATGCTTGATACGTAAACTGATATGGTGCATCTCATCTTAATATGTATTCAAAAATGAAGATCATTTTTTATGTTTCCCACTTTAATTCCCAATCTTACATAACCCAACCTTGTCCCACAAACCGTAAAAAGAACTCTTGACGCTACAAGGAAAAGGAAGGTTGTTCGTGTCCTTTTTTAGGATTTGTGGAACATTGTGTAATTTTATATTGTAATAACAAGAAATTAGAATGTGGTCGTATCAGGGCCGTCCTTGGGGGAGGGCGGCACGGGCGCACGCCCAGAGCCTAAAAATATCAGGGGCCCAATAATTTCTCTTAAAATACAATAGTAGTTTAAAAGAATTTAATAAATTAAAGAAACCCAAAAAATTGTACCATATAATATGTGGCAAAAAGAATTTAGTAGATAATAAGGGCTAAAAAATATAACAACTAATTACATTGGAGAATAAAAAAAATAAAATTAATTGATCATTTATTATATGTTATTGTTTCTTGTCACTCAACTTTTTTTTTTATCTTCAACAAGGTCCAATAATATTGGTTATTGATATCTCTATATGATTGATTGTTTTCGCACTTCAACAATTCAACGTTAAGATCATATGTTTGCTATTGCTATATATTTTTGTTGGATATTTTTATCAATTTCTGCTTCTATTGACTATTGCTCTTTGGTTATGTTGTTCTAATTGTTTTTGTTGATTATTATTATCTAATTTTGCTTCTACATAAAATATTTTACTATTGTTTGACAATCAATCTATTATTCTTATAATTTGTGAAGTGTTTCATGGTTTTGTGATTAATCAAAAAAAAATTCTACCAGATGTATTTAGTAATGTCTGGTAAGATAATGTGATATGATAAAAACTTATCCGGATAAACATTTGATAAATGAAGTTAGGTTGATAGTAGCCATGTGGCGAAGAAGATGGAGAAAATTCCAAAATGTTTCCCTCCTCTTTGTATAATTATACTGAGAAATGATGAGAACAAAAACAGCAAGGTGGGGTTTCACAATCCAACCGTTACATCACCATTATTTTAGGTGCTTTTCTTCTTCATTTTCAAATTCTCTCACTGCCATGGCATTTAATGAGGTCAAAGAGAATACTAGTAACGTTAACGGTAATGGTATGGCGGAGGTGGACACGTCGTCGCCTTTTCAGTCGGTCATGGAGGCCGTCACCCGATTCGGTGGAATCGGCTTCTGGAAACCCCATTTCCAGGTCTCTCTCTCTCCAACAGAATCCAATTCCATTCCGTCCATATAATATACAAATGGTTTGAATTGTCGCCAGTTTCATCTTTCATTCATCATGTTCTTTTTCCATTTGGATTGCAGACCATCGATCAAGATGCGATAAAGGCAGAGGATCAAGCGACGACACAACTACCAAACAATCCGACACCAGAAGAACGAGAAACAATCGAAATCATGAAAGAAATCTTAGCAATGAAAACTAGATTCGAAGAACTAAAAGCGAAGCTACAAAAAGAGGCCCAAATCAACACACACCCTTCTGATGATCGAAACAACGCAACTAGGATTCAAGTTGATGACGTTGAGTTATCAAAAAGCGAGATCTTGAAGAGAGTAGAGGAAGCAACCGAAGATGTAAAGCATTGCACGAGGGTTCTTGAAGAAGTTTTGGGTCGAGTCGAGGCTGCTAGACACAAGGCTAACCTATTTGCCACCAACGAATCGTATTCTGGTTGCAAAATGTTGGTGTCGGTTCCGACAATGTCGATAGGGCAGATACTAAGCAGGAAACTGGTCATGGCAGAAGAGCGGTCGGAGAAGAGTCGTATAAAATGGAAGGTTTCGTTGGCACAAATTCTTAGCAAAGGTGGTAGCAGGGAGAAAAGAGGTGGTGGTGGTGAGAAAGGAGTTCCGGCAAAGAGAATGAAGTTCGGGTTTGGTGGGATGTCGTCTCTTGTGGCGAAATCAAGCACAAAGAAGAAGAAGAAGAAGATGACATAGATCCTTTTGTTGCCATTTTGGTGTTTGGATTTGACTGAATTTTGGGGCATTGTAAAACTAGTGTTTTGTGTGTTTGTGAATGTCATTTTTTAAGATCATGAATGTCGTACCCTTCCTCATAAAAAAAATTAACCGCTTAAATTGACCAACGCCCGGCTTTTCTGTTCCTAGGCCTTTCCACCAAAGACACCGATGATGACTTCTCTAAAAAACTAAGGGCAAATTGCATAAAATACAACGTAATTGAGTTTGATTCCAATTGTGTAACTTGCTTTTCAAACCAACATTCAGATTAAAGTACATAATACAAAAATATAGATCAGACAAAAGTATGTTATATTTTTCATTCATTATAAGATCTAAACTAGGTATCTAAATGTCTAAGATGAAACACTTTCATGCAATTTGCTTAATTGGAATATGCGAACAACCAATGAGGGATGATCATAATAGAGTTTACAAGTCGCTTTCAAATGTAATTGAACCCAAAGAAGGAAGAGTTCGCAAGACTCTGCTTGGTAAACGAGTCGATTATTCAGGGGGTCAGTAAATCATAGTTACTGCCACAAGACAATTTGACTATTGGTATGTACCAATCAGGTTGCACCTATACCATCATATAAGAGGAAAACATCGGTTACACTAAGATCCAAGTGTATGGTTTCTCCTGTAATGTTGTACAATCATTTAGGGTGTATTTGGTAGGCAGAACAAGACATGACATTACCGGAGAAAAAACTTGTATCCCACGTTTCACATGACGTTAGACCAGGACAAGAGACGGGATGAGACAAAAATGTCCCATCAAATTCAGAGAAATGGGACAAGATTGGTAAATTATTAAACCACATCAAATTAAAACCTTGGAACCTTCCACAATTCTTTCACCCACCTATCTCACTCTCGTCCGTGAGCATGCTAGACGCACATGAGAAGCAATCACGAGTAACTCCAACATAACTAAACCTTATTCAAAACATGACCAAAGGATACTAGCTCAATTTCTAAAGACGTGACTGGAGACTAGCCCAACCAACCTAAAAGGCGGAGCTTTTCCATTGGCGGGAGCTAAAAACATAACAAGAACCCAAATAGGGAAAAGAAAACCAAACATAGTATGTCCTACCTCACATAGAGGTAGGTTGAGGTGTAGGATGTACACAGACCTTGCTTCTATTCCAAAATTCCAAATGGTATTGTGACTGTTTCCATGAACCCTGAATAAAAAAGGTCAGATGGCAGTACCTGTGCATGCATGCATTTGTATTGATTGCTATTAGAGCCAAAGTAAAAATGCCCTGTAAAGAAAGAAAATATTACTAGGCATTTAGTATTCTAAACTTTCCTCTTCAGAACAGAAGGTATATTAGAGTCTGTTTTCTATTTTAATTTTTTTTTCCTTCTTTTTCTTTTCTCAAATCATTCATATGACCAAAGTGACTGTACATCTGGGTTGGAGTATAGCCCACCAACAGGAGTAATCATGGTCGATGTGGTTCCTATGCCTTCAACAGAAACTGGACCACCCTTCTCTTTTCTGTCCCACAGAAAAAAACCGAAATAAGAAACAAGAGAATTAAATCTGCAGTAATTCACAAAAAAAAAGAAAAAAAGAGCAAACGACACATAGAAGCAACAAAGAGTAATATCCGAAAGAAGCATGGAACATACCCAAAACAAAAACACTAAATAGTAGTTTTTATCCTTGTGATACTCCTGAATAATTAGCATTATTAATTATTTAGCAATATCTTTTATGACTAAGATCTTGTAATGAAAGTTTAAAAGTGAAAAATCAAGCGACTATCTTGAAAGTGATTCATCAACATGGGTTTATAAGAAAATACAGGGTTACTTACGAAAAAGACAGCTTACTATAGGTCCTTCGTCGATTTAACATTGAAAACTTTACCATTTGAAAAATATATTTATTTTTCTTCTGCAGAACAATTCTAGTAAAAAATCTTTCACGGGAATCTATTGTGCCAGGCTGAACAGAAACATTTTGGCACGGCAGATGAAGAACCAGCACTGAAATGTTCTTTTAGTCCGATATTTCAAACAAATATTAGTCAAATTGGTTAACCATCATTTTTTTTGTAAAATTGGTGCATGACTTAATAGTTATTGGTCCTTAGATATGTTTTGGCTTCTATATGTTTAGGGTTACAAATTAATTACCCAACTTATAAGCTTTCTAATGTCTTCCTAACCTGATTTTGGTTCTATATAGACTTGTTTATACAACTTCTGTTCCTACCTCTCTTCTCTAGGAGCATTGTAAGCCTCACTCGTTTCTTCTAAACTTGCCATTCAACTTCAACAGGGTTTTATGTGTATCACAACTTCATTCGCTCTACTTTTATATTATAAATGCAATCAGCATCCTCATCAATCGCTCCCTACATATAATCCTCAACAACCCTTCTAGTTATCCTGCAGATATTGTGCTCATTAAACTCTTACTTACTCCTATTTGATATTAAACATTTTATGTTGCTACTCTACGACCCCAAGCAAATATTCAAACATATCCTTTCTTTTGTTTTCTTCTTATCTTTAATACCATTTCATTCCTACATAACTTATAAAAAGTTGTCAGCAAATAATTTACTTCCATTTGTAAGGTTGACCAACCATATTGTATGTTTATCTTTCATTGTTGTATTTATTATTAAGAAAGAAATTAGAATTTTAATTAATTTGGTTACTTAAATTAATTCATTCTATATATATTTTAGCAATAAGTACTTTTTTATGAATTTGTTTTAAATTAATTACCCTTCTTTACTTGACACTTATTTTGTATTACGTATCCCTACTTTTATAGTATTTCGCAACATTTGCGGTACATATAGTATGTATTTAACTTTCTGCACTCGAGTATTAGATGTACCACGGGATAAACGAGACTACCCCCAACTAACCACATGCTAAATGAGACTAATCACGTGCTAAGAGTACTTGTATACATACAGCAAACCGTTCTTCATACCAATCATTAGCATCATATGAAAATAACATTAATTTTGTATATAGTATTTGCAAACTATAGCATAAGGCACAAGGCCTGAATCGCAGAAAAAAATATCAGCATATGTAGCGATATTACAAATCTAGACTAAAATGAGTACATTCTATACCAGTATACTGCTTAAGAAAGATCATATATCAGATTTATACTTGCTACTCCATTTATCAAAAAGTGGGACACAGAGAGATTATGTATGTCATAGGTGAGAGGATAGAAAGAGTATCAATTAGTTCTGGCCATTGACAAAATCTGTTCTTCCATCTTCACCAAACTAATCCAAAATGTGTATACTTATGACACAATCATCTCTTCCAACTCTTCCTCTACCTCCCAGGGGTTATTCACACATATCTAGTAATTCCTTTAAACCAATAGAAATTTCACATATATACAAGAAGACAAAGCTCGTATTTGACCATGATCCGTTAGCTCAACCTTTGACCTTTTTTATACAAATTGCATGTGCCTTTCCATGACATCAACTTATTATACAAATACAAGCCATCAGGAGTTGAAAAAGTTTTCACATGGTGGAGAAGGAAAGGATAGCAGATGTTTTATTTTCAGCATGTCCAACATAATGAGTTAGAAGAAGCCATGGTCTATCAAACAATGTATCATACCACAAATAAAAAACATAACACCATGCATTTTCAAAACATCCAAGTTTTCTTGCAACATATTTCAAATCTGTCAATTCAATGCATGAGATATCATAATTAAGATGCTTACTTGGCCCAGACACTTCCATGAGACAGCTGAAACTGATGGTTAGCTGCAGATCCATTGGGAACCCCATAAACCATTTCATTATGAGTAGTTCCCTCCTGCAGGTTTAATGATAAATGGTTGTTGCTTGACATAGACCCATACGAAGTTCTTAATGCCCATGGATCATCACTAGTAGCATGCATAAAAGCATTACTTGTTCCCACATTTTGGCGAAGTTCCTGTTGAGAGTTTGTGTTGGATGGGACATGGTCCTCTTTTCTTAACATTGAAGCCATAGTTTTTTGAGGTTGCAATTGAACTACTCCTTCATTATTTAATCCACTCAGCTCTGGAGGTAAATACCAAGTTGAAGGCCCACCAACTAAGCCAAGCGTATCCTGACAAAGAGGAGAACTATTCCACATCTGCCATCCCTTCTCATTTGCAGTATCATGGTCCTCCAGTGGAAAAATTGTCTTATCCTGAATCTTTTGAGTGCTTGGAAAAAGAAAAGAATTGGCACGCATCTCATCAGAAAACCACAGCCGTGACATAGGAGCCTCAATTGGTGATGGTCTATTGACTTCAGACAAGCCAGGCATATGCTTTATAGGACATGGCTTTTCAAACCCTAAATCAGGTACAAAGCCAAGGTCTAGCTGAAAATTCTCAAGCGACTCTGAGACAGGCCCGATCAAGGATGCAGGATCAGGAACATAACACGGGTCTTCAAAATTGTCTGATTCTTCGGGTAGAAGCTCAGTGGGAACTTCTCCAACTCGAGGGAGCATGGGATTAGATGGCAACCGAAGACCTGTACTACTAGTACAGTTCCCATAAGAAAATTTTGGTGGAGGATAAGGCAATCCAGATGTAATGGGACTATCAAGTCCTTCAGTCGCTGGGTAACTAGATGCTATAGAACTTTGAGCTTCTGTTTGTAATTTTCCATTTGGTCTGCTTATGACATTTGTGCTAGTGGGCAAAGTAGTAGTTGAAGACCGAGTAAATAATTGTTGCCATGACCTTTTGGGGGCTGGAAAAGGTTGGGACTCAAAAATTGCCTGCATGAGATAGATGTCAACTTACACAAATCATACATCACATGCATCACAGGTCATTCTATGTAATGGACAACTAAATATATTGTTGATAGTCTAAGAACACTTAGGAATATGAAAAGCAGCTAAACTTAAAAGCATGTTGATGAAGAGATCATGAAAAAAGTAATCAATCAAATTGTGTTTTAGTATTAGATTGTCAGCTGAATGTGATTTTGTTCATATAGGCCACAGCCACATAAAAAAGGGAAAACTGCTAGCAACCACCATATGACCAAATATATGATGATTGCTATCTACAGAACATACTATCTCCCCCTTCATTTTCACAATCTCTTTTCTTTCCACAAAAGGGAACGTTGGTAAGTTTGGTCACCAAGAACTTGCCATTAGAAAATGCAGTATGTATGATAACTTCACAAACAGTGAATATGGTGGAACCGCTAATTATAAGGATCCAGATCAGAACAAAAGCACTTACAGGACGACTGTGGTTTTGATCATCTGCATATGCATTTGATTTCCCATATGCACGCTCAGGCTGAAAAAGATCTCTCTTGTTGGCAGTAACCTGGACATGATCCAAAGAAGCACTAGATTTGTTTTCTCGTATGTTGCTAGCATTTGCATTTGTGCCTTTCCCAAAGAAACCACCAGCGGAAAGCGTTCGAGAAGATGGAAAAAAGTTACCCCTCATTCGATCCAGGTATTTTGCACCAACACTTCCCTTGTAAAGATTATTTGCTGCGACTACTTTTGAACCATGGCCTGTGTCAGTTTTGTTGGACCTCAAACTTTCAGTCCCAGATCTGTGATGTTCATGACGATCAGTCTCACCCTTCCTGTTCTTTTCAGTTTCCTTACCTGCTCTTTTTTCAATTTCATCTACATCAGAGTTGCTTTTACTAGACCCCCTGTCTTTTTCCTTCTTTCTTTCTTGGCGCTTCCTTTGGGCCTCCCGTTTTTCATCGATGTCCTGCGGAGACGCCTTACCTTGGTCCTTCTCAGTCACTACTTTTTCATCTCTCAGCTTCCTACGTTCTTCCACTAGCCTAGCAACCTCTTCCCTTTGTTTCCTTTCCTCTTCCTCCAACTGCTCCCTCTCTAATCTAGCATGTCTCTTCTCTTCTGCTTTCCTGCGAGCTTTCTCACTTCTGCTCTCATTACAATTTACCCCATTCTCACCCTTCTTACCCAGACCTCTAATATCGTCTGCTGAAGTATCATCTTCAGCCAAGACAACTCTAAAGAGTTTTCCCCAAAGCCACATAATGCCAAAGAAAATAGCAGCTAAACTCTTGCAGATAAAAACAAGAAGAAAGGAGTATGATTTTTCAGAAAAGAAGTGGTCAGTGCCACCACTAAAGAAGGCACCACTGTTCTTCTTCCAGTAGCTAGACTTCCCAGAAAGAGACCCATTAACCCAGTTACCACCATTCTCCAGCCAATCCTGACCGCATATCCAATTATTATCAGACCACACCTTCCCGTTTAACATCTTCCCACCTTTCCCAACCAAATCTTTTAAAATCCCAGAATTTGAAAGCCGCCCCAAGCCAGGAGGTACAGACAAGTCCAATACCGGCCTCTTAGAAATATGTCCACAGTACGAACACATAAACCTACCCCCAGAAGGGTTCTGATCTCGATATGGAGTCAAACAGTTCCTGCACCGTCTAGTCGCAGTCTTTCTAAGCTTTTGCATTTCAATAGCTTCAAACCTCTTTCTCTCCCTAAGTCTAGCATTCCTACGAGCCCGCCAAGACGACAGCTGCGGCATCAAAATTTCATACCAGAAGAGGGTAACTAAAAGCACTAAAACGCAAGCCAGCCTCGGCGAGGTGATTTCAAAACGAAATGCAGGTGGCAAGAATTGCGATAACAACCACAGTCCAATCAGTGGAATTACTAACCATGGTAGCATGGTAGCAACCTTTCTTGACCACTTCTGAATCACACACAGTATACACATTATCCTTCAAAAAACACCCTATCTTCAATCCTTATGTGTCCCTCTGTCAATCACAAACCCTAATTGCAGCAGAATTCCACAATATACCAATCAAAATTGCAACCTCTTTTCCAAACCCTAAAAAAATAATAGGCGCAAAATGACATATTTTTCAAATATAACATAAATAATAAGATAATCGACGAGATAAAATGCTGAACTAGAGCAACATCGATGAAATTAGGGTTTTGGTAGCTCAAAAACCTCAGTGAAAAAAGAATCACTAGAATTAGAATGAACAAAGTACATAACAATAAATAGACAACAATGAAACTAATCGATTTATTAGAGTTCAGAAAGGGAAAAAGAAACCAAAAAACTTCAGAGATTGAAACGAATAGTCCATTACCCCAGATAGATAACCGAAGATTGAAACTTTTGTTGCCGGCAGATGAGATGTCGCCGTTGTACAGCACCCTTTTCCCTTCAAGCTGTGACGGTGATGAAGATGATGGTTTTCTGATTACATATAAAAATAGAGACTTAAAAAGGGATTGTAGAAATAAAAATGGTGACTCATTTATATAGAAAGACATGGACCGGACGGTTTTGGTTTTTTCAGACCGGTAACCCGACCGGGTTTAAGAAGCCTTTTTTGATAAATATTGACTAAATCTAGAAATCCTTTCTTTTACCTATTTAAATTATTTCTCCTTGCTCATTTGAAGTCAACGCAAATTTATTTTGTTGTATTAAAATATCAAATCAACAACAATTATAGTATGTTAATAATTATTAAAAAAATTATATTATTTTTTATTTTATTTTTAAATAGTTTTGGTATGATAAATGATGTTATTTAAATGAGTAGATTCACGGGAATCGACATGTTTCTTAAATGTTCAAATGTAAAAGATATATGATTGTTAACATTTGTTTTCTAAAAATATAGTAGTATAAAACATAAAACATATATGTTTCTTAGATGTTTAATTGTAAAAAATATCTGACTATTTACATTTGTTTTACAGATCTTTTTTAAATATTTGATAAAACCATCCTAATACTCTGACATTATTCGCACATATAGAGCCAATGACATTACACGTTTGACAAACCATGTGACGTAATATAGTATGTTAATAACTTGATGCCTAATTCTTTTACGATAGACGTCTATTACAAGATGTTTATTGGCTTATTTTGCACAAATTATTCTCTCGTATGAGAATATTTGATAACATATATACAAGAAATGAGCGTCAATGTTAACTCTAGAATCGAGTTTAACTATTTGTACTTAATTTCACAAAACTTCGGCTTGTCACATTTTTATGTCGTAATTTAAAATGTCACGTCAAACTTCTTGATCAAAATTGTAATTAACTTCAATACAAATTCTTTTGAACCAGTAAATTTTGCTTCATATAGCTTACGAAAAAAAATACATATTAATGTAATATAAATAAAACCATTTAAAACAAAAAGATACTATAATCGATACCATAAAATAACCAAATCACTTTACCTTATCAAACAAAGCAGATAAAAGGCAATAGAAAGATAGCATTCTTAATTATCTTTGATAATTATGATATTTAACTTAAGACTAGTTAAGAGGTAGTTCGATTCGTTTTCTATTAAGACCTGTATTGATAAAGTTGTCTGTATGATAAGAGATGTATTGTTGTTTGGTTGTGGTGCTAAATAAAACACTCCGAAATATATATGACCATTTTACCTTTGTTATTTGTTTTTTTCATAAACAAAAAGTATTTCAATTTCTTCATCATCTCCAACCAATATATATTTCATCGTCCGCAAAAGAATTCTAGTTTCTTTTTCATTGTCCTCCATACATGTAAACCCATCAATTTTGATTCATACAAAATCCATAAACTTGAAAATTAAAAGTTAGATCAGACACACTTGGCTGTAACCAAAACCCACATACAAGATTGAAGATTTATAATCAAAACCCAAATACAATGTTTGTAACTCAAACCCAAATAGAAAATATGTTACCAAATCAAAGGAACAAGAAACAAATACAACCCACACTGTTGTGTTTGAACTGTAATAGAAGCAATGAAACAAAAAACAAAGCAAAAAAGAAAGAAAAACAAACACATATATCAGATTCATTGAGAGATGAAGAACATTTGATGAAGAGATCGGGAGATGGAGAAGCAAGTAGGAGAGATCGAAAGTGACAAAAGAGAACGAGAGCACCGAAGAACGATATAGATGGGAGAAGAGACCATTGGAGAACGATATATACAGGAGAAAATGAGACCACTGGAGAACTAAAGTGGTTGGAGAGAATGAGATCGGTGGCGAGGGAAATATGATGGCTTTGAGTAGTGAGAGAACGAGATCGACGACGAGTAGGGGGAGAACGAGAGAGAACGATGGAGAAGCAGGTGGAGAAGCCTAGAGAAGCAAAAGATGCGAGGAGAAATCAAGGGTAATTGGGGAAATATTGATGGCTGAGGCCATAGGAGAGACATTTTTCAGCTGAGCGAATAGGCCCCAACCGAATAACTTTATATAGCTGAGCAAATAAGCTATAAGGCTTATACAGCCCATTAAGCAACAAGTCCTTAAGTCTATAAGGCCTGAGTTTCCACTTAGGTAGAATAAAATATAATATATTGGCACGACCAAAAAAGAACAAGAAAAAAAGACTGACAACGTGAATAATCTTTAGCGTAAATTACATTTTTAGTTCCTGTGGTTTGTTGAAAATTTCTATTTTCGTTCTTATGGTTTTGAAATTACAATTTTCGTTCCTATAGTTTAAAATTCATATACCCTTTTCGTTCTTATGATTTAAAATCTATTGTTTTTTTTTTTATTCTTATGGTTGACAATTCTTTTATATTTTAGTCCTTCATATCTAAAAGTAGTGTTTTGGATTGAAGGACGAAAATAGAAATTTTACAAATCACGGAGATGAAAATCAAAATTTTAAAATCAGAGGAACAAAATCAACAATTTTAAAAATCAACAATTTTAATAAATCACCGGACCAAAAACATAATTTACTCCAATTTTCAAACGTCTCAAGGACGCTCACAAAAAGTGTACATGTAATCAGTCAACAAGAATAATCCCACCTTGGATGGACCGAACTCCAACCTCAATTGAGTCTTGAGTTGGTACTTTTGAATAAAATAGAAATTGAAAAAAACCAAACATATTACAGTTTTGATTCATTAAATATTCATAGAAATAGATAAAGTCAAACCACTGTTTCTAATTTGAATTCCTATTTTTTTATGGTGAAATTCGCTCCAATATCCACTCAATTATTATTAATTAATAGAAAGACATTCGTGTAATGCAATGGTATTATATCAACAGCAAAATACATAATTAAATATAAGATAAATTTGTTTTGTTTTATTTTTTATCTCTGTTGATATAATACTATTTATGTGGTTTTGAGAAAAACAATGTTTTTACTTTTGAATAAAATAAAATTTGAAGATTTCATAAAATTTTTGAAAAAACACATGAATATTAATGTCAAATTAACTATTTAAAAACTTTTTTTTTTCTTACAATTTCTTTAATTTAATTTTTTATTATAATTTAATTTAGATCTAATAGCGAAGTAATTTATTTTTGACTTAATAATATAATTTTTTATGAAAATAATGATTATGTTAGAACTCAATGATTATCCTAATTATATTTTAGATTTTTTATATTTAAAATGAGATGTTTATGCTATATCTGATTATGTTAATCTGTAGTTAGTTATATGAATTTAAAAATAGAGCCAGTTTATTTGCAATCTTAAAATTTAAGTAATATGTATTAATAAACAGTACTTCATGCGTAAACAATGATTTTAAAAGCTGTTGTCAAATACTTTATAATATAGTATAGATATGCACATGAAAGTCGACATGTTATAGTCATGTCTCATCGTATTTGGCCATGTTCACAAATCAGGTACAACCTCTTGCTACCTATTTCGTGTTTGATATGTGGCTCTTGATGCCACGATCTTCCCTACCCTCTTTGAATTGAATTCCACTCATTTATCAACTTGACTTGATGCTACACTCACTGGTTACCTCTCCTCTTAGTATTTTCGTCCATGACATAGACTCAACAACAAAATTGGTTTTATAGGATGACTTATTATGTCCAAATGTTCTAATAAATTCACAGGACTAAACAATTGTGTGTTCCATATAAATGATGTAATAATAAGTTGATAGGATGTCTCTAGGCATCCTGACAAGTTTCTTAAAACAATTTTATGTAAAGCATCATATTCTTTTTATGTAACACCCGTAACTTTTGTATTTAATTTCAAGCTAGAATGCAATTGGGTTTTATCAGATTTCTTTTGTTATGGCAAGAAATGGTTGGTTTAATGTCTCCATTATGACCCTTCAATGTTTTGTTGGTTTTAGAATAAAAATTGGGGAGATTTAAAAAATTCTAGTGCTCCGAGCGTTTAGCCGCGGAAAAGGTCGCCTAACCCACTGTTTTGTTTTCCTTTATTTGTGCAACTCATGAAATATCAAACAGTGGTCGAGGCCACATTTGAGGCGCCTTAGAGCGCACGAGAGGAGGTCGCCTGGGTACATGAGGTGGGTGCGGGCTAATGCTGCCTGGTTGGTGAGGCACGAGGTTTTTGGTCCAGGCGACTTAGGGGCCAAGTGACCCAAGTTCCCCGGAGCGTCTATTTGCTTATACATGTTACAACCTAGATTTTTTCACTTGCAACCTCCCTCTTCCCTCATTTACTCCCCATACCTCCTCTCTCCCTTCATTAAATTTTGATTTAGAGATCGTTTAAGGGATTTCTCAAGAGCTTTTGAGCATTAAAGGAGTCCAGAAAGAAGCTTCAAGTGTGGAATCAAACATCTAAGTTTCTCTCCATTTTCTAAGGCTTCATTGATTTTCTAGGTTTTCACCAAGACCTAGTATTGTGTGTTCATCTACACATTTGTAAAACCATATGCATGTTAAAACGCTTTATTTCAGTTCCTTAAAAGATTTGGATGGTTTTGGAACAACTAGGTCAAATTTGGGATTTTGGGACTTTATGCATCATGAATAAATATGTGTGGAAATGATTTTATATACATTAGGGAGGATTACTACAAATTTCGGATGAGTTTGAGAACCATGTATTGAATATGGTATTGTCTTGGTTTTATTGGTTAAATGAATTTTTTGCCCATTTGATGGTTGTCGATACACAAATGTTTATATGATGGGTATGGTTGGACATACCTAGAATGATGTATATATATTGGACTAAAATGCAATGGATACATAGGCTTATAAGTCGATCTTACTGAATTTGCAGGGGATAAAGACTCCCTAGTTGTAAGTTGGATTTGGGAGATCCCAATGTGTTGGTCCCAGCCGGATCTACAAGAGTTTATAGGTAATAGTTTGTAGAAGGGGGGATGAATATAAACACAACAACTTTCACTTTTAAAAAACTTATATTGATAAAGGAGATCAATATAGATTTTTACAGATTGTTTGCG